GAAGTGGGTTGGGAGTCCCTCAGCGTGGCGGGGAGCAGGCCAGGGGTCCCTCAGCATAGTAGGGAGCAGGCCGAGGGTCCCTCAGGATGGTGGGGAGCAGGCCAGGGGTCCCTCAGCATAGCAGGGAGCGGGTTGGGGTCCCTCAGTAGGTTGGGGGTCCCTCAGCGTGGCACGGAGCAGGTTGGGGGTCCCTTAGCATAGCAGGGAGCAGGTTGGAGGTCCCTCAGGAGGGTGGGGAGAGGGCCATGGGTCTCTCAGTGTGGCAGGGATCAGGCTGGGGGTCCCTCAGCGTGGCGAAGAGCGGGTTAGGGGTCCCTCAGCGTAGCGGGGAGCGGGTTGGGGTCCCTCAGGGCAGTGGGGAGCTGGCCGGGGGTCCCTCAGCATAGCTAACAGTGGGTTGGGGATCCCTCAGCATGGCAGGGAGAGGGTTGGGGGACCCTCAGGGCGACAAGGAGCGGGTTGGGGATCCCTCAGGGTGGCGGGGAGTGGGTTGGAAGTGGGTTGGGAGTCCCTCAGCGTGGCGGGGAGCAGGCCAGGGGTCCCTCAGCATAGTAGGGAGCAGGCCGAGGGTCCCTCAGGATGGTGGGGAGCAGGCCAGGGGTCCCTCAGCATAGCAGGGAGCGGGTTGGGGTCCCTCAGTAGGTTGGGGGTCCCTCAGCGTGGCACGGAGCAGGTTGGGGGTCCCTTAGCATAGCAGGGAGCAGGTTGGAGGTCCCTCAGGAGGGTGGGGAGAGGGCCATGGGTCCCTCAGTGTGGCAGGGAGCAGTCCAGGGGTCCCTTAGCATAGCAGGGAGTGGGCTGGGGGTCCCTCAGCATGGTGGGGAGCAGGTTGGGGGTCCCTCAGTGGGTTGGGGGTCCCTCAGCGTGGCTTGGAGTAGGTTGGGGGGTCCCTTAGCATAGCAGGGAGTGGGCCGGCGGTCCCTCAGCGTGGTGAGGAGCAGGCCTGGGGTACCTTAGCATGGCAGGGAGCAGGTTGGGGGTCCCTCAGTGTGTCAGGGAGCTGGCTGGGGGTCCCTCAGGATGGTGGGGAGAGGACCATGGGTCCCTCAGTGTGGCGGGGAGTGGGTTTGGGGTCCCTCAGAGTGTCATGGAGCGGGCCAGGGGTCCCTCAGCATGGCGAGGAGTGGGTTGGGGGTCCCTCAGCAGGTTGGG